GTGCGTGCCTCCGTGCAGTGGGTCACCCGCTGACTCGCAGGAGTGAACTGGTGAACCCCCACATCCTGCAGGTCCGCTCCACTCACCAAGTTCGTAGAGAACGAGGGAAGGTACAGACCCGACAGGGTGCCCGAAGGGGCAGCCGGACACGGGAGGACAGTGGAGAAGTGAGACAGGACAGGACCCCCAGAGGGGTCAGCAAGGGAGACCGCAACCGGCCGGCCGAGCGGCGTAAGGGTAGTGCGGTCTCGAAAGAAGGAGCGAGAGGCTCCGGAGTCAAGTGTGAAAGTGAGGGAGGACGAGGACGACGTAGTACCTGAGAGCGCAGTCTCACCAGTACCCGAGAGCACAGACGCACTGGCACCTAGAGCAGCAGCCTCACAAGCACCTAGCGCAGCAGTACCAATGCCCGGGTCGGGCTGGAAACAACGGTAACCCTCATTCTCCTCACTATAATCCACAACATACATAGCAGCAAGGATAGCATCAAAATCAAGATCAAAGATCGCTACACCAGCCCTGAGAAGCTCATCCCAGCGAGGGATCTCACTAGCCCCAGGGAACTGCTGACGCCAAGCGTCCGTCAGGCGGCCAAAGCAGCGCTGGGTGGCGTGGGCACCCCCACACTGCTCACCCGCGCGGTCGCCGGAACGAAGAACGTAGGTGCAGGGACCAGTACCCCCACCCCTCTGACGCCCAGCGTACCACTCACGAAGCTGCTGAGGCGGAGGGATGTCCCGCGAGCGCTGCTGCTGCTGCCGCTGCGAGCGCTGGCCACCACCACCGCCGCTACGCTGCTGGGTACCACCTCGACCAGCTCCACCTCCTCCACCACCACCGCCTCCTCCGCTGCCGCCTCCACCGCCTCCACCTCCGCCGCCTCCACCACCGCCGCTGCCTCCACCACCACCGCTGGCACTACCACCACCGTCTCCGCCACTGCTGCCACCCCCACCACCACCCCCGCCACTAGTCCCGCCGCCACCCCCACTCCCTCCGCCGCCACCGCCGCCACCGCCACCGCCCCCTCCAGCTCCACCCGCGCCCTTGCCCCCCTTGCCCTTGCTGGAGCGACGTCTCCCACTAGGGGCAGACGCCGCGCCGACCGACTCAAGACCAAGCAGGTCGGCAGCAGCAGCAGAGGCAGCAGAGGGCAGCAAGGGGGAAGGAGAGCACCCCTCAAAGATGGGGGTGCGAGGGTCACCACGAGAAGCACCTACAGCGACTATGCTCTTCTCCGCTGTGGGGAGGGCCTTCTCGAGGAGGTCGACGGTGAGGGTGGTGGGACAGACTGCGAGAAAGTGGTCCCTGACGACGCGAAGGGAGTCAGGGAGGCGCGCGACTACGTAGTAGAGAGCGATGTACATGGGGGGGGGGTTCTTAGCGCAGAACTCAGCAGGAAGGGCGGCGCGGTAGCGAGTGTCACTAGTGCGGAGGTGCGTAATGAGGTCAGCGACAGTGGGAAAGGCAGAGAGGTCAGGAAAGAGGTAGGGAAGCATGAGACGGCTCAGTGCAGCAGTGGCAGGGGAGGAGTAGCGCGCAACTACAGCGTCGTACAAGGTCTGAGCACTCTTGTACTGACTAAAGTGCGCACGCTCAGAGGTAGGGAGGTGGCGACGCACAGCAAGACGTGCAGCAGCATCGCGGGTGGCCCACTTAGAGCGGACAGTGGGATCAGCATCAGCAGCAGGAGCAGGAGAGGCGCCAGAGGTGAGGTCAAAGAGAGAAAGGTTGTCAGCCCTGTCGCACTGTAAGAACAGCTGCAGGTCGTCTAACCAGACCTGAAAATCAATGGCGCGACCCTCAGCGTCAAAAGCTAGGACACTAGGGGTAGCCATGGCGACGACAGCGACGTAGTGCAAGCAGTAGGGAAAGAGCTCGCAGTGTCAGTGGGACTGTGCTCACCAGGCAGGGCAGGTCGTGCAGCTATGCAGAAAGGCGGCTCAGCGACCGGGCGGCTCGGGTGCACAGCGGCTCGGCTCCCAGGCGGCTCGGTGGCTGGGCGGCTCGGGCGCAGGGCGGCTCGGCTCCCGGGCGGCTCGGCGGCAGGGCGGCTCGGGTGCAGGGCGGCTCGGCTCCCGGGCGGCTCGGGTCCCGGGCGGCTCGGCTGCTGGGGCGGCTCGGCCGGGAGATGCAGGGGCGGGGCCGTCAGGTGCAGCGGCGGGTCGACCGGTGCAGTGGCGGGCCGGCAGGTGCAGCGGCGGGCCGGCAGGTGCAGCGGCGGGCCGGCAGGTGCAGCGGCGGGCCGGCAGGTGCAGGCGGCGGGCCGTAGGGTGCAGCGGCGGGCCGTAGGGTGCAGCGGCGGGCCGGCAGGTGCAGCGACGGGGCCGTCAAGTGAAGCGGCGGGCCGCTGGGTGCAGTGGCGGGCCAGCAGGTGCAGCGGCGGGCCGGCAGGAGCAGCGGCGGGCCGGCAGGAGCAGCGGCGGGGCCGTCAGGTGAGGCGGCGGGCCGGCAGGAGCAGCGGCGGGCCGTAGGGTGCAGCGGCGGGGCCGTCAGAGGCGGCGGGCCGTAGGGTGCAGCGGCGGGGCCGTCAGAGGCGGCGGCGGGGCCGCGGCAGTAGAGGCGGGGCCGCGTCAGGGGAGGCGGCGGGGCCGCGTCAGGGGAGGCGGCGGGGCCGCGTCAGGGGAGGCGGCGGGGCCGCGTCAGGGGAGGCGGCGGGGCCGCGTCAAGCAGGCGGCGGGGCCGCGATCAGGAGAGGTGGCGGGGCCGCGTCTGAGGGACAGCGGGGCCGCGAGGGAAAAGGCGACCCGAGGGGTCGCTAAAAAAAAAAAAAAGGGCGCGCCTCGGGGCGCGCTTCGGTGGGCCCTAAAAAAACGGTCCTAAGGCAGGACCCGCTCTATACCATGTGAAGCAAGGAAAACAGGAATGAGAATGACTAAGTCAGAGTTGGGTACAAATACAACCCTAGAAAGCTGTACCCCATATGTGATACCCCACTATAGCCTACAAACATGCATCAGCTATAATACTCTGACACCATTCTCTCCGGAAAATGGGTATTCCGGATCAAAACCAACTCCGACAGAACCATCGAACGATTTAAAGCTCGATGGGTCGTTCGCGGATTCGACCAAGAATATGGTCGCGACTTCACAGAAACCTTTGCACCAGTCAGTCGACACACTTCCCTGCGCATCCTCCTCGCCATCGCCGCCTCACGTCGCCGCCCACTCCGACAAATTGACTTCGCCAACGCTTTCCTGTACGCCCCAGTCGACGCCGAAATCTTCGTCGAACAACCCCATGGATTCGTCAACGACCCTTCCCTCGTCTGCCAACTACTTAAATCGCTGTACGGAATTAAGCAGGCACCGCGACTCTGGCAGCAGTACCTGCACGCACGACTCAAACGCATCGGATTTAACCATATGCCCCATGATCAGGGCATGTACCTCCTCACTCGCGACAACGACTACGTCGTGTTAATCGTCTACGTCGACGATTTACTTTACATCGGGTCAACCATCACTATCGTCACCTGGTTCGAGAGGGAACTTCAGACAGATCTCTCCCTCACAGTCTCACCCAACGTCACGCAATACCTAGGGCTCAACATCCTTGACGAAGACAACACTATTCGTCTCAGCGCCTCAAAATACGCAAGCACTATCGCCGAACGCTTCTGCATCACACCGACGCACGTCGCAACACCCTACAGTCACCTATCGCCCGACCCAACCGAAGAAACCAACCTACTGCCGTCAGCCGGAATCCAGGAATATCAACAGAAACTGGGCTGCCTACTCTTTGCCGCCGTTACGTGCCGACCGGACTTATCCTACAGCGCCAGCCAGCTAGCGACCTACCTCAAGCGCCCAGAAGAACATCATCTCAAGGAACTCAACCGTGCCCTCCTCTACTTCATCTCGACGCCAACAGTTGGCCTAACGTATCACAAGAGCGCAACAACTGACCTAAAACTACTCGGCTATGTCGACGCTGATCACGCTGCAGATCGTGTCGATCGCCGCTCTCGCACCGGCTACGTCTACCGTCTCGAGCCCGTCGGAACTATCTCCTGGCAATCAAGTAAGCAGGAGCTCGTCGCACTATCATCTGCTGAAGCAGAGTATATTGCTCTCTGCACCGCTACCAAGGAAGGTCTGTACCTGCGCGAACTGCTGGAAGAAGCGAAAATTGCGAAAGTACCCAGCTCCTCGCTTTTCTGCGATAACCAGTCCGCAATACGGATCGCGAGCAAGAACGGCTTCGCCAACAGGACCAAGCATATCGCACTGCGATACTTCTTCGTGAAAGACGAAATCGAGAAAGGAAAGCTCCAACTGGACTACTGCCCGACCACTGAGATGACAGCAGATTATCTCACCAAGAAGCTGCCAAAGGGGAAATTCGAGTATTGCATGCTGCTCACTGGATTGGGCCACGTCACCGAAGCTGACCACGTCGACACTCCAGAAACAAAGGGGAGTGTTGGGAATACAAACGCATGACTTAGTGCGTTTCTGTAGTATCGAACCTCACCCGATACTAAAGCACAACAAAAGGAGTATGAAGTCGAAAGGGCGCATACCACATTCAACCGCAACTGGAGGTTGCAAGTTGTAACCGCCTGGAGGTTACGCAACAGCAGGCGACGCTTCAGTGAACAGTAACTGCCTCGATAGTCGAAGCGTTACGCGTCTCGACAAACACAACCGCTTCCTGTAATCTATCCTTTCCTATATATTCTTGTATGCTCTTTACTTTAATCAATTACTTGTTCTCACATACTAGCACAAGTACATTCACCTAAAAGACTTCCGCTGTGCTACTCTAGCACCTATTAGCCTATTCTCTGCAAAGATCCTTAGGCTGAAATTATCAGCCCAACACTGTGCTTGTCTCTACCAGTGATGACCGTTATGCTGCTCAAAGCTGCACACACAACAATACACCATCCATGCAGCAGCGCATTCCTACAGCACCCCATGCATACACAGACCTCACATACACACATCTCAGATGATAGGACAGCACCCACTGAGTCACAGGCACCAGCATCAAGCACCACCCCCCCACACACCAAGTCTCAGGGAAAAGGTTCCTGGCACAGCATGAACGAGGTTGGGAAGGGAACGGACCAGAGAGGCGTGAGAAGAGAATATGCAGAGAGACTGGAGAGAAGGAGGGGTGGAGAGGGGTGCTGTGGGTGTCAATACGCCGCAGAGCGATATGAGGGGGAAAGGTGATGAGGAAAGGCAAGGGGAGACTGGCATGGGATGGCACGAGGGGCAGATGAAATGTGATGAAGCATGGAGGGAAGAGGAGCATGGGACGATGTGAGCAAGGAGGGGACTGACTAGGCAGGTGTCATTTGAGTTGACTCAACAGGCACATGGGAAGGGGCAAGTGGGGAGAGGGGGGACTGACTGAGCAGGGTTTGCAGGAGCGTGAGGTGCATGTGCAGGTGCCACAATGCCTCGTCCACATGCAGGTTGTGAAGATCCCCACCCATGTTGTTGCCCAGCCGCTCGTTGCTGTGCGCACCGTGCAATGCCTCTGGGGTCTTTGCTGTGCGCACCGTGCATAGCAGAGGCATGTGCAGGCACAGGGACAGGCACAGGCACAGACTCATCCACGCTAATGCAGTGGGGGAGTTAGAGCAAGCTAGGAACAGCAACTGTGCATTTCAGAGCAGATTGGTACGATTGTGGCTGCCAAATAGCAGTGGGGGAGTTGGAGCAAGCAAGGAAAAGAACCGGGTGAGGGGACAAGCTGTTTGGGGAGAAGCAGAAGCACAAAGCACCGAGAAAGAAACCGGATGGTGAGGGCAGGAGCAGCTGGTATGGGTGCTTGCTTCTCCCTGAAGATGCGTTGCCCTGCTGCCTGCATGAGCTCTCCTGATACTCATGACCCTGGAAGAGTACCCAGAGAGAGGGATTCACAGAGGAGGGTTAGGCCATACAGCCAGGGAGGGTTAAGGCACAAACAGAAAGGCGCTTGCAGCCATGATGGAGGGTTTGGGCATGAAGGGAGAGAGGAGGATGAAGCAGTGGGGCAGAAGTACACATGCAAGGAGCGATTGGGCAGACGTGTACGGGTCACTGTGAGAGCAGCAAGCTCGCCTTACTCGCCTTATCTGTTCTGCGCCCTCCACTTCCACAGTGGCACCTCCTCCTGCTTCCTCTGCCCCTCTCTCTGTGCTGTATGTGCCCTGCTGCGCTGAGTGACTGGACCTTGGGCTGCAGATGCTGCTTCTGCTTGTGCTTCTGCTGCCACCTCTGAGCTGTCACGAAAGCCACACGTGTCCTTCCCCCCGTTTCCCCGCGTCCCCCTCCCCTTCCCCCGAGCTGGCTCCCCCTCGCCCCTTCCAAGCGGGCAGCACTGTCCGCCAGAGGTACTCCTCGCGCACCCACCGCACAAACTGCCCCATCAGCACAGAGGCACCTCCTCCTGCCTCCTCCGCCCCATCAGCACCGATGTGGCAAAGAATGCGGACGCGGGGAGAAGAGCATGCCACGTGGCAGGTTGTTGCCGCCGATGTGGCTGCTGCAGACACGTGGTAGTACAAGCGTGCGCCCCCAGTGGCGCGCGAGACCCATGGCTTCCGCCTGGTGGAGGCGCGCCTTGCTCAGCTGCTTCCAGAGATTCCCTTTTGCGAGGCAGAGGCACGTTGCGAGGTACCGCGCGGATGGCGCCGTGACTGGGGGCCGGATGCGGAGGAAAGGGGGGAGGTGGGGAGAAGGGGAAGAGGGGAAGAGGGGGAGAGGGAGAAAAGGGAGTAGGGGGAAAGGGGGAGGAGGGGGAGAGGGGGAGTAGGGGGCCGTCGGGGAATAGGAGTGGGGGAACCAGGTGCAGGCGCGCGATTGCTAACGGAGGGAGCATGCGATCATGGGGGGAGGGACGAGGGACATGTGCTGGATTCGGGAGCTGGATAGCGCGTGAGGAAGTGCGAATCAGCGCACATACACTACTGAGGAGGTGCGAATCAGCGCACATACACTACTGAGGAGGTGCGAATCGGCGCCAATCGCCATTGGTTGCCACATGGGATTCCCATGACGATCGTTCCGAAGAAGGGCGGAAAGGAGAGAGGGGGAGGGGGAGTACGGGGATCGAACGGCGCGGAGTACATGGCGGTCTGCGACTCGTCGCACTCGAACGTGCTGCTTTGCGACGGCCGCCCCGCTGCGACGACGACGGCGACGCCAGCGAAGCCCAGGAGTTCTAAATAGTACCATCGTTGAAAGGTGCAAACTGCACTATACTGTACGTGCATTCGCCTGATTTATCTAGACACCGAGGAGTTCTAAATAGTACCACCGTTGAAAGGTGCAAACACTATTCTATGAAATAACTAGATACAAGTCAGAACAGAAAACTTGTTAATTAGCTTTCTATGCTTCCTATTCCGAAGTGTGAGGAGAGCAGATCCACTTGCGCGTCCACAGCAGCTTGACTCTTCTTGACCAGCAGCATCAGCTTCAAAGTCTTCTTGAACCCTCTTGGCCGTCAGAGGCAAATGCCCCTGACGTTACACCCACGCACCACGATGAGGTGGGGGCCATTCGCGTGGGACCTGCTTGGGAGGGGGGAAACGGCCGAAGCTAGATAGAAGGGCAGATGAAAAAATTAACACATCAGTCACAAGTGGATACACGGGCAGACGAATATATTAGCACATGGGATCGGACGATTCTCCGTTGTTGTCGGAGTGTCGTCAGGATGACGGCCAGCTGTCACAAAAAAATGGCATACCTGACCACCACCCATCCCATCGCCCACGTGATTGTGCCTAATCGAACGCGCGCTCCTAAACGTCCTGCTACACACCTCGAATCGGACGATTCCCGTTGGTTGTCAGGAGTTGCCATGATGACCCAAAATTATCGCCCATGTGCGTGTGCCTAATCGAGGGCCTATCGCTCCTAAACGTCCAGTATCCACCCACACCCAAACACATCTTACATGCCTGGCGCTTGCACTGGTTGCTCCTGCTCCCGCCAAAGCTGCAGGAAAGGGCGGGACGGGAGGGGGGAGTCAAACTCCTCCAACCTCGCTCCTTGCTCCTCGCTCCGCCTCCTCGATCCGCTTCCCCCCGCCTCCTCGCCGTCACCCGCGCGTGAGGGAGTCCGCGTTGACCTCCCTTGTCGCCGCCGCCAGTGCCGTTTGGTCCCACTCGTCCTGCACTGAGAGAAGAGCACACAACGAAAAATGTTAGAATCTGGACAGTAAACCAAAAGCAAATTGAAACTGCACCTTACCATCTGAAGGAGTCGGCGTAGCTTGAAGTTCCGTTGCCGGCAGCGCCGCTCCCGCCGCTCCCCTGGTCCTGCGCTAAGAGGAAAATCAACGAAAAAAGTTAGAATCCAGGAAAATAAACGAATGGAAACTGAAACTGCATCGCGGAAAAGGGAAATTGCGTTTTTGGGTGTCCGAAGGTTTTTCTGCGTGGGCCTTGCGTGCTTGTTGCGACATGTGTAAAAAAAACAAGGGCCGTAAAACGCAGCATCCCCACCATCGATAACCGCACCCTCGTCCACAACATTACCGCCACCAAACTGTTACTTTGCCTTTACCTGCGCTATTATCCGCACCGCCTCTACGAAGGCGCCTCGAACACATGCGACTCGGGCCCAGAGCTGCAACAATACTCGGTATTAGCGTGTCGCACAAACCCCGCTGCAGTTTCCGCGACAATCCTATCTACACACTTATTCGGAATACCGTAACCAACATACGCAACCAACGATATGCTTCTGCAAACTGGATACTTCCCATTGTTAACATGTGCCAATATCATAAATATTAAAGTTCATACTTACAAAGCACAACACACAAAAGCCATACTTTACCGTCTGCACGCAACCACATCTACAAACTACGCCCACCCTACAAAACACCCCCTCCCCCCCCCCCCCCCAAAAAAAACATCACTCCCTAGCGCACTACACAGATGCACTGTCGAACGACCCAGAACTGCGCGCACGCTTCTTCGGTGTGTGGTTTAGGCGGCTGACCACCTCTCCATTGGAGGCGCCAACAACAGGCGCCACTTCCGCTGGGGCAATCCCCAGCGCCTCAGCGTGACACACGTACGCGTGTGTCACGTTGCGGATGGCACGCCGACGGCTTCGTTCGTCTCGCATCAGAGGCCCATCCGGAAGGCACATTTCACCCTCGTCCCCTAAAGACGTGGGCGTAGTGGGCGTCACCAACTTCACTCCTGCCTGCTCCATTAACCACTCATCGCAGGTCACGTAGTCGGACGCCGGCATATACAACGCTGGACGCACACGGAACTCACGTAGCAGCACTAGGAGGTCCGCCGTGGTAGAGACTAGCGGCTCGTACATGCCTGCCGAATACATGCCGTGCAGGTGCCACATAAGCGGCCACCATGACTCCGGGACGCATCCCGCCCTCCACCAGCTCCTTTGCATCGTAGCCGCCGTCAGCGCCTTCCAGGCCAAGCCCATCCACAGCAGCATGACCGCGTAATTCACCACGGAAAAGGGCGCATCGAAATCCTCGTGGAAGAGTTTCGATCGCACCGCGCGTCTCATTAGGATAACACGATACTCCGCCTTGAAAGCGTCCACCACGCCGTGCAAAAACGGCATGCTGGACCACTGCACTATGTCTGTGAGGTCGACAAAGCGCGTGTGCGTGAAATGCACCACCGTCAAACCGTGCTCCACCGTCGTCTTCGCGTCATTCGCGGTAATGTGGTGCACGGTGTTGTAGGTGAACACAACCGTCTTCCGTTCACGGCTTAGCTGCACACCGTCGACCGTCTGAAAGAACTCGGTGAGCACCTGCGTAACGCCAAGCCAAGACAACTCATGCGCCGAGTTAAGGTTCCGTACACCAAATCAGCGGAACCGTCCACTCCCAAATGAATCCAACATACCTCGGGTGTGAGCCGACCACTCTTCGTGTAGCGCACAATCACCGCCGGTGTGGGTTCCCCGCTGCGCCTTGTTTATGGGCGCTCGTCATGGCGCAAAACCACAAGGGGCACCGTGCTGCAGGTTCCCGTCGCATTGTATAGGAAGCCCACACTTATGATCCGGTCGCACGGGGTTGCTGTCCTTCCTGGAATCTTGGTCTTAGGCAAACGGCTCGGCAAAAACGGTATCTCCACAAACAGAAACACATCGTCGGGGTGCACTTTCAACTTCTCGATGATGTCCTTCAAGGGGGGCTTGACCGAGCTCATACTGGCCACCAGCATACAACGCCGTGTGGGTAGGTGGAGATGAAATGACAAACCTCCCCAAAATAGGCCACCTCATTCCGAAACCGTACGCTTCGCCAGCAGGTGTGCTACCTAGTATCGGCTCCACATAGCCACAAACACATAATCGCTTTCTGAATGCTCTCTGACCATTGCTTGGCAGGTGCACATGTGCTCAGTTTCCATTGGCCAAAAATTGCATGACCGGATGTCGTTCACGTCACACCGGCCGCAGCTGCCATTCACAAACACTTGAAATCCGAACGTCGAACCAATAGTCCCAGCCACATATCGTATATGATTCCAACACCACCGTGTACCTGCATTACAAAACCAACAATAACTCGGCAAACCGTCAACCCGAATAAAACACCGTCCTAACAAAATCCCTTAAAGCCAATATCATAAACCCAACACCGCCCTCCAATTTAGATGTATGCCAACCATGTCAACATTCCAACTATCCCACAAAACATTGTGTGACAAGGCAAAGCACGAGACCGTCCGCCTGTTCTGTTCCACACTCTATATCCGTTACCTCCTACGCCTCCACCCCTCAACGTCAGTACCCCACGTCTCCCCCTTACTGTTATTCTATCCAAAACCCATCCCACATTTCCATATAAATTCCCCTTCTCCTATTGCTCGCAGAGTAGAAACTTGTTCACCAGCAACACACGTGGGTTGCTGTAAGATGGGCATACGTGTACAACCCTCTGGAGGCTGTTCAACAGCACCACTACGAACCGCAAATTCTGTTTAGCTGGATACAACTGGGTACACGTTGTGATGGGACACTGCCCGGCGGCTTCGTAGTACCTGACGTATGCACACCCAATCCACTTGCCCTCCGCGTTCAACGCCTTGAAAATACACAGGCATCTAGCGTACCAATCTCCGCCTCCCCGAACCAACAGTGCCACATCTGAGAACACCTTCTCTCTCGGAGATGCCTTTACGAACGTCCCCTTCGCCACCAGCACACCCCCCTGTGTTCGTGGTATGGCCACTGCTGTGTGTGTCTGCCATCGAAGCAATAGACGAACTGTCAGTGAGTGACACACATTCCGCATAACACAGCTGCGATTCTGCTCACCATACGCTCACTTACCTGCACGCTGTCACACGCCATCTGCATCTGCCTCAGCTGACCTTTTAGGCCCTCCATCTGATCCCCGTGTACTGCTGCGAACTCTGCAAACACACTGTCCCCGCTACATCCGAGGCGCATGATCCTGTACTTCTTTGTCAACACAGGCGCTAGCTCTTCCACGGCCTGCCACACTCAACCACCCGCAAGGCAGCATGTATTGCATCAGAATGCACATAATCCGCACACCGAAATCAGGTCGTTCATCGCCCTGCGCTCTTCCCCCTGCTCCAGCTAGCATACTTTCGCTCACCACACGCAGCGCTGATACATACTGCCGACCTCCTCCCGCATCTGCCGCCACTTCTCTGTAGATCTCACGCTGCATCTCCTCATCCACAATTCTCCGAGGAATGTCGGCCCAGTTGCTCCCCCTCACGGGACCCTTCACTGTCCCCTTGTGTGTTCGCTCCCACATCTCCGTGCTGTAGTGGTGTGGCATCCCCCTTGCTTCCACGTTCTCGAGAAGATGCTTTATCATGTGGATCTTGGGAATTTCCCATTTAGACGCTTGGTCAGGGAAAGCGACGGGTAGCAGCTCCATCAACCTGCAATACAAACTGTGGTTTAGCACATAGGTTCTACCACCAGACTGCAGTGCACGCGGTACAAACTGCACAAGGATTGCCAACACCACCTGTGTCGAACCACCAAACTTACGCAACGGCGTGTTGCCTCGCCGCTTTCAACGTATCGCGGGTGTGCGCCGCCACTCCCAAAAACGACTTGTAGAACATGGCGTAAAACCGGAAAGCTCTGACCTGCAACGCCCTTAACTCTCCCGCCTTTCCCCTCCTCAAGGCACTCGAGTCCGCTATGATGATCGGCATGATTTGCATCATGGCGCGATGCTCGAAGGCCGCATAGTGGGCGCCAGAAAGGAAGAAGGACGATCCGCCGGGAATCCTTAGTAGCACACTTGGCGTCTCGCTTTTCAAATCTTTCTTCCTCCTGCGACGAAATGTGGACCAACGGGCCACATTAGCATCAGGCCAAACCCAAAGACATTAATTCCAAGCAACAAACGTCCCTCTGTCCACAACAACAGAGGACCGCTGCTTTCTACACGCCTCACCTCTCGAGGATGCGGATCTCGACTTTCCCAAGGGGGGAGAGGTACTCGTCCATCATGTGAACAAAGACACTAGAGTCCAACACGTGTAAGATGTCAGCCAGACATGCGAGGTACACGTTCCCCCAGGTGGTGTCCCCAAAGTTCCACCGCACCAGCACGCACTGCGCCCAAAAGGAAACATGTAGCGAACACATATGTTGCGTCTCATCACAACTCAAATAAATGTTTCCACGAAGCAGTGGCAATGTGCAGCGTACCTCTATTGGATGGGTTGACCACTACGACTGGAATTTACGGGCGTCCTCTTTTTTGGCAGACGCAAAAAACTGTCGCACTATGTCCTTCTGCCTCTCCAATGTGCGGGGATCCTGTTTGGCTGTCAGCCGTGTCAGGTCTCCAACTTCGGCATAGCAGTTAGCGCACGGGCAATGTGTGCCCGTCTGCAGCGTTGCTGAAGCCCTATTGTTCTCAGGATAGTCTCCAGGGTATCCATAGAGGCAAGGTACCGCCCCTTGACCACGTTGCACGCAACGTCTGTCACATAAAAGTACCTCACGGGAGCACTGGATACAGAAAGTAGTTTCCAAAGTTGACGGTCCACGAATACATCATTTTCAACGATAATACACACTAACGCCACACGTACCTTGCGGTTTCCCGCATCAAGGGTCCAAGTATGATCTTCAGCGCCTCCTGAAAAACTCGTGCCTTCTCTGTCGGGCTAGCCCATTCCGGGCAGAAGGGCAGCACCGCAACAAGAGTGTGGCCCGGCTCAAACCACCTCAATTCCTCAGGTATGTTAATGAGCAAAATCAAGACAGGCCACGCATTCCTCCGCCCGTTGCGCGACGCATGCGTGCTGTCGCTGTACACGATGACCCCGAGAATCAGAGCCTTGTCGTCCTTGATCTCTTTCTGCCACACACTCAAACCGGAGTGGGACATTAAGGAGCACGCCCTCCATCGGACACGACTCGCGCAGCATGGCAACGTACCTGCGCGTCGTGCATCCAAGTGCCTGTTTCCGGCCCCTCGAATACGCGCTTCCCATGCTCGTTGTACTTCTCCTCTGGCTTCCACACGAAACCCTTCCTCCGCAAAAAAATGCGGACAAGCTTCTTCACAAGCTGCACACCACAAAAGGCCCATGACTATCAACGGTCGAAGAAGTCTAGATAGAGACGTTTGATGCCCTGAGTTACCGATGTAGGGGAATATATGCATTACGCATTTCTGGGCATGCTCACCAACTCTGTGTCACGGAAGTGCAAGAGAAGCTTTTGAGACAATCCTCTAGGCCCGTGTACGACGATATGCTCCGTCTTCCATGGAACCATATCTGGCGGCGCACGCTCTTTCCCCCATCGCTTCACGTCAGCGTAGTTGCGCCACCTACGTAATTCCTTCAAAGAAAACTGCGGGTTACGGAATATGTTAAGAAGTCTGTTGACTTCTCGGCGTGATAAGTCTGCGTCCCGGAAAAAAAGGTACAGCTCCGTGAGGGTGTCGAAGAAGTCGGAGACGTCGATAGCCTCTGAACAATAAGAGTCGTCATCGTCACTAATATCCCCGTCAAGTTCTGCATGCGACGCCTGCGGCGGAGAGACATGTGTCGGCTCCGATGTAGGTACCCCACGGGTTTTGGCCCCAGTAGTCGCAGGGCTGCAGTGTCGTTTGTGCCCAACACTGTTTAGCGCTTCTAGGTAAGCATCAAATATAAGATGCTCGACATTTCTCTTCAGCGAGTCCCCGCATTTAGTTCTGTCTGACAGATGAGACTGTAAATCACGGTCACAGGGAAATTCCTTACGGCATACGCCGCACTTGTTTCCCGTCATCTCGCTCTAACTACGAACCCTAATCAGACCCCCAACAAGCGGTTAGGTAGGCTGTTTTCATAACCTCATCGAGCGTGCGCGTCAACCTGTTAGAGATTGTGTGTTTCGCTTGCACAAATTTGGCCAACTGTACTGACAACACCCTGTTCTTCTAATGATAGATTACACTAAGAAATAATAATAGTTAACGTTACTTCCGTAATAATCACACCAACAATGCATTCATGACTCATGCATATCCAAATGAATGTTCTCCAATATAATCGCTTCTACAAATAAACACCCATGATCACCCCACTATTACTACCTTTCAATAAGAGGCATCCGCTGTATGCATTACTAGGAGAATCGCGCCTTTATGCGGAGTGTATATGTGCTTGTACACGAAAGAGCACGCGTGAACAAATGTTTCCCCATTTTCGAAGCAAATTTTTAGACGAAGCAAATTGTGAGACGAACCATCGGATGTGTTACACGAGTCCCGGTCCACGGACCTGTTCTATCTAGGGAATTCGTGTTCGGATGTGCCTCCTTTATAGCTTAGGTGCCGTACCTAATGTACGCGATTGTACAACGATGTTGTATTGTCGCTTTGCAGTGTGAGGAACATTGGAGTATGCCAGCACAACATAATACCCTTCAAAATACCTCTGTACACAAACTCAAATTTATTATGCATGATGTCACAACCCTTGTACACTCACACCTGTTATTCGCTGCATCCCCGCATGTCAAGCTGGTTACGGTGCACTTATATGCACCCGTCCAGCTGTTATGGAGAATTCTGTGGCGCACAGGTGTCACCATCTCGCTGAACTGTCACGTGATGCGCGAACATCGTGTAACCCAACTGTAGATCTGGCATCCGTAGGGGGTTGATGTGACTACTTCTGCTGCCTCCTTGCCATAGACTATAGCGCTGACGAGAATTCGCTCCCACAGGAACCCTACCGGTTTTAGTGATCTGTTTCCGCCCGTGTCCGGGAGTTTGAACACCTTATTTCCAAAATCATTTCCGTGAACTAATATCGCGCCGAGCATGCCTCCAAAAAAAGCACTATGCTGGAACCAAGACTCGAGCGAATACTCGGAGGCGGAAGTTGGAGAAGTAGTTGCGACACGCACGCGTATGGGAAGGACCGCCAGTACAAACAGAAAACAACATAATATGGCGGCGTTGGAAGTGGAGGAAGAGATTATGGAAGATGTTGACGCGACGGTAAGCGCACCTGATGAACTACCTCAGCCCGACGATCTGGTGGCGGCGTTGGAGAAGAATTATCACAAAGTAGAATATCGCAACATGGAGCTAACGAATCATCGGGGCGTGGTCAGCACAGTCGACAAGAAGGACCTCGCCTCCATCGCCGACAACACATGGTTGATAGACGGAGTGGTCGACTTTCACAACGTGTGAGTAACGTTGCCGACGCGCTACGAGCCCGTCGTGAATGTCGCGCCAAGAGTGCGCGTTAGATTGATTTGATGGCCCTTTGTACGTGCACAACACCCACCTTCGATGTCATGTGCTTTCAGGCTTCTAAGCATCCGTGATCCAAAGCTGTCAAACGGGAAGACGTGGGCCGCGCTCGATTGCAACTCTTTTGCGAACACCACTGCTCACAACACGGCAGTCAATGTTGGAAACGGCCTGCCGCTCCTTGAGCACGACTACCTTGCGGTCCCTGTCTACAGGGGGTAATTATTGAGCCACCTGACTTGTTTGAATGGAGCCGTAGGGTAAATGCATTCTTTATGCGCGTGACTAAACACCGTCCTTTCCTACCGCTTGCCTCCATGCAGAGAGCACTACTTAATGGTGATAGTCATATCACCCCACCGGCTAGTGGATAAGAGGTCAAGGAAGGATAGCCCGCCACTGGAAATGGTGTTGTTCAACAGCTCCAGGGCCCCGATGAGTACACAGAAGGTTTTTAGTGGCGTGAAAATGTAAGTGTGGTTTTCCGTTACTGTGACTACTATTGTTATTTGCACATGCGTGCCTGTAACCGGGTTGTGTACGCCGAGATGTTCCGCAGGGTGTTGACAACCATGGTCAGGACGACGCATCCACATGTAGACATGGCGAAATTTGATCAGCTGCTGAAGGACGTTCCCTGCTGTGAAGATAGTAGAGAGAATCAGGAGCCATAGCTAGGAACGACCTAGCTAGGCAAGAAAGAAGTTAGGCAAAAGAGGATTGAACTAGCAAGAATGAGGATACAAATAGCAAACCCTAGAAGGATTGTACTCGCTATAGAGCACCCCACTACAGGCTAGAACATAAGATAATATTCTGACACCTGCCATGTCCTCACCGTAAGTGTGACCTTCCTGGTTTTTTTGGTGGACTGATGTTGTTATACAAAATGCAAAATTGACCACCTGGTGTGCAGTTTTTTTGCGCGCAGGAAAACCACATCCCCAAGCAAGAGAACGGTTATGACTGTGGAGTCTTTGTTTGCCACTACTTGAAAAATTTGGTCTCCTCCAACTTCGCCAACGTGAAGAGTGGCCTGTGGTTCAAGGGGGTCAGCGCGCTGCAGTACCGCCGCATCATGCGCGCTGATCTATGCGCTCACACTATGGGAGAGTTGCTCCGGAAGCTAGATGAGGATGGCTTGGATGTTCCTTCTCAGCCAAGCGGGTTGAACACCAACACGACTTTGAGGGAGGGTGCGACGGAAGGACATGAGAAAGAAGAACAGCGTATAGACCAGCTCGAGGCGGAGTTGTGCTCGTTAAAGCGTGAGGTGGGTGCGATGATAGCAAGATTCGCCGCAATTGGTAGTGTGCTTGGGATGTCGAGGGAGCAGTTGATCTCAGCAGGCGAAAACATGCTGCAGCAAACTGGCGTCGCTGAGCAGGGATCGAGGGGTACGGATGGGCGCAAGCACGGACCGCACACTCCAATGCGGCCATCAGGCTACACGAAGCAGGTGAACGACAGCCCAGACGAGGATATGATGGGCTCGAACACGAGAGTGTCGCTCGACAGCAAATTCGCGACGGCTGTTGGTGCGTACCCCTGTTTCCCGGCACCTCTGCCAATCCCCGGGACGGTTCCACACTGGCTGCTGTCACGGCAGCAGGCAGCTGCGGTTTCACTAGTCCAGCCATCCTATCCGGTGTACGGGATGGCGCAGAGCGGTGCGGTCGCACACCCCGGCTTCGTAGCTGTACCTAAGCAGGAGACGTTGGCGGGAGGAGAGGATTCGGAGGAAGATGGAGAGGGCGAGAACGAGCCAGGAACAAAGCCGACCAAGTACACAGGGGTCTATGTGGAGGCCGATACAGGCAAGTATGGGGTGAAGATCGTCGCAAAGGACAAGGAGGGGAAGAAGATAACGAAGAGAGTCGGCGCGTACACCATGATAGAGGAGGCAGCGTATTGCTACGCGGCAGCTGCCCACGTGCTGAGGCCTGGTAAAGGCACCCGGAATTCCGTGGCTTTAACACCGGCAGATAAGGCAGCTTTGAAGGGGTGCACTCCCGAAATCCTGAAAGTCATGGTGGATGCCCGCATGTGGTGGCGCTGGAGGGTATGGAGGGAGACTTACAAAGGTCTGACGCTGAAGGCAGCGCGAACAAAGAAGAATGCAATGCGTGCAAAGAGGGGGAGACCGCGCAAGGGGAGTGGTGATCAGGGTGGGGGCACGGTAGGGGAGGGTGAAGGCGAGAAGGCTGGCAATGCGGACATTGTCATCGCTGGCCACGAAACAGAAAACAGCAGAACGCGTAAGATGGCCTGCGGTGCAGAGGCAAAGTCTATAGAGGACAAGACAGATGAAACTGGTCGTGGGAGGCCGTAGGATGGTGCTTGGGATATCAGTGGGAAATGATAGTGGATCATGGGGTTGAGAAAGGTAAGGTGGAGGATGCTTTCACGCTTGTGTGGTTTGTACTTTAAATGAAGTATGGCATTAACAGCTTGATACAACGTTGTTTCCTCTGGTGCATGTATAATAGATATGAAATATCCAGCAAAAGAAGGAGCTAATGTAGGAGTACTGTAAAAGTGTATCGAGATTACGGGTGGTATGATGAAAGTTGACGGTGAACAAAGGAAGAATTGTATTCGCTCACCAAGATTACAGAAATCGTGGAGGTCGTCTTCCACTGGGTGTCGGTGATTGCGTTTATCCTGATAGGCGACAACGGTTTCGGTCGATGGTTGTGGACGATGTTGAGCATGGTTTAGGCATTACCGTATACTTTGCAAGCTCAATCCGAGTACTTAGGATAGCGTCCAGTGCACGCAAACAATGTCATTCGTTAACAATGGAGACTTCCGTTGCTTCTGAAGATACTGGCAACGCGGGGCGTGCACGGCGAGTGTCCCAGCCTTCGGCGTACCTGCGCGCGGCATATCAGCTTGCAACTCCTCGGGGACGCATGCCAAGGGGGACTCGCTTGCCGGTCGTGCCAAAGCTTTTGGCCATTACCAGAGCGGAGGGAGGCGGAATTGCAATTCGTGACGGTAATGACGGTTTGATGTGCAGTTTTTACGAAATGTTTGACGATGCTTTTAACTGTTTAAATCTTGGTTCGGAAAGTGAAAGTGTTGTCTTTCCCCATACTTCCTCGTTGGAGTTTGTGTTGCCCGGCATTTAACTGTCTCCACCGCCTACATTCCCATGTCCGCAAATAATACGGGGGGCGAGACATCGGACGCTTCTCCCGGCAGGGTCGGCAAACAAGCGCTGGTGAGTCACTCGCCCGATTCGCGTACCAATAGCGACGGTGCTCCTCGTCAGGCGAACCGGAATCGAGGCGAGGACGTAGAAGGGGGCATACATGCACACATCGTGAGCAATATAAACGCTTCCGAAGAGGAGGATGACGAGGATGTGGGTGACGCGATGCGCACGATGTTCGAAAGCAACGCGAGAGTTTCCAACGATGCTGTGGACACGCATGGCGAGGAAGTGCACGTTTCCGCGGGAGTATTCAGGAGCCTCCTTAAGTCGCAGGACGAGAGCGCGCAGAAGGTGGCCCGCTTGGAAAATCTGCTGTTGAAGTCCGATGGGGGGTCCCGTCGGCGCAAGGCGGAGCGGCAGAGGGATCCCGGGCAGGGATGCATGAACCCAAAGCGCCAGCGTCGCGGCCCGGCAGTGGCAGACGTCGAGGAGGATGACGACGAGGAGGAAGACGACGACTACAAAGACATGGCACAGGTTCGGACAGCGCGTCGGAAGCACATGCGCTCTGCGAAGTCGCCTGTTCTGCAGCGCGCACTTGATCTGCTGCCGGCCGACAAGGCTTGGAAGGTGGGATGTGGTACCAATCGTGTAACATTACTTACGGTTTGTGCATTTTCTGCCGTGCGATGGAGTGTTGTGGAGCATTGGACTCATTCACGATATACCATGATACCTGACTTGTGTGCAGCGCCTATGTGAGCTGGTCCGAGTGCAGCTATTCTTGCAGAAGCCTGCGGCAACCATGACGTTCTATCCAAGCTCAGACGACAAGACATATGGCGTTTGCGCAGTGATTGACAGACTGCCTCATAGCTTCGCGTGCCTTGCGCTTGCGGCGGACAAGTCCTGCCGTGCTGACCTTAACAAGACGCTGAGCGAGTGGAAGACAAGGGCAGCTGGACGGGTCCGGGACATTGCGCTCCCTAAGCTTGGATTCTTCCGTGATGAGCGTGACGAGGCAAGCCCGTGGGCAAGGGACAACGCACGGACGCTGGAGCAGATGTGAAATAAGTGAACAGGAATGGAAATGACTAAGTCAGAGTTGGGTACAAATACAACCCTAGAAAGCTGTACCCCATATGTGCTACCCCACTATAGCCTACAAACATGCATCAGCTATAGTAATCTGACACACCCCCATAGGCAAAGTGGGGGAGAAAAAGGGGTCACAAGACCAGTCAAGCAAAGCAAAGCAAAGCAAGCTCAGGGTGGATCACAAAGTCACCACACAGTCCGAGCACAAGAGCAGGGCCAGAGGCCAGTTCACAAGCAAGAGTACAGACATATATATAAGACTAGACAAGCAAGAGCAGGTATATATATGTCACAGTACAAGTAAAGTCAAGAGGAGAGCAAGTGAGGCAAGACAGGCACAAGACCCTGCTGGGTGCAGAAGCGCTGATGGTCACAAGGCGCAAGTGCCTTGGTGAACACATCAGCAGTGTTGGCCTCAGAGGCCACGTACGCAAGTCGCAACTGACCACGCTGCTGCAGCTCACGAGCAAGGAAGTAGCGGAGAGCAATGTGCTTCATTCTGTGCTCCAAGCGCTGCTCTCAACACAAGGCCAGCATGGCCTTGTTGTCTACGTACAGCACTGGAGGAGAACGAGGCGGCTCTCCAAGGTCAGTCAGCAGGTAGGTGAGCCAGCGAAGCTCCTGTGCAGCCATGGCCCCGGCGTAGATCTCAGCCTCACAACTGGAGCCGAGAACCGAAGACGAACGAGTAGACCGCCACGAGACAGAGCCGGAACCAAGACTGAAGGTGTAACCCTATGACGACCGCTGCGTAGCCTGGTCATCAGCCTAAGAAGCGTCCGCGTGGCCTGTAAGGACCACTGGACTCCGCCCTCCAAGCACTAGCCCCATGCCCGACGTACTGCACAGGTAGCGCAATACCCTCTTCGCTGCAGCCATGTGCTCTGGTCTGTGTCTCCCAGGAGCAACATAGCGTGCAAGAATGCTCAGAGGGAATGCAAGGTCAGGTCGAGTGTAGGTCATCAGGTACATGAGGCAGCCAACAAGCTCTGGGTACGGGCCACTTGACTCTACGGACTCATCCGAAGGCACAGCTGAGAGTGAGTGGCGAGTAGACAGAGGAGTGGCCTGAGGCGAGGAGTACGTGAAGCCGAAGCGCTGAAGGACCTGCTGCACCATGTGTGACTGAGTCAAGGTGATGGTGCGGCGTGCTCTGTCCCGAGTGATCTGCAAGCCAAGGTAGCTGCGCAGTTCACCCAGGTCTGTGCACGTGTGTCTCTTCAGCAGCTCGGACTTCACGTAGGCGAGTCCAGCAGTGTCCGCTGTGGCAAAGACCAAGTCGTCGACGTACACGAGGATGTAGAATGGCGGGAGTGAAGTGTCGGTGCGCAGAAACAGCGACGGGTCAGCAGTAGACGGAGCAAACCCAAGAGCCGCAAGCGTAGTCCTCAGTGTGTTGTGCCACTCACGCTGTGCCTGGCGGAGACCGTAGACTGGCCGTCGGAGGCTCCACTGGGTGCCAGGAGGGAAAGTCCCAGTGAAGCCAGGTGGACGGCGCAGCCAGATCTCCTCGTGCAGGCTACCCTGCACGAACGCAGTGCTGAAGTCGAGAGAGTGAAGCTCGTAGTCGCGCTGAGCGGCTATGCGCAGCAGCACCCGAAGAGTGGTCATCTTCGGGGTGGGAGAGAAAGTCTGAAAGTAGTCAACTCCCTGCCGCTGACTGAAGCCACGAGCAACGTACCGCGCCTTGAAGACACGTGGAGAGCCCGGTGGCCGATTCACCCGGAAGATCCACATGCCACTGACGATGTTCGCCCCAAGAGGGGGAACTGCGTCAACGTAGGTGCCTGTGAACTTCCAGGAAGCCATCTCTGCATCCATAGCTGCCTGCCACTGAGAGGAGTAGGGACCCTCTACGGCCTCCGCGTAAGAGCGCGGAGTCGGGATGTCTAGTGCATCAGGGTCTCCCTCAGGAGCAAGCAGTACAGACGCGAGATGAGGTGAAGCAGCAGCCAGACACTGTAACTCCTCCTGCCTGTCCTCTAGGACGTCCGTGCCAAGAGCACACTCACCCCCGACGGACGGAGGACAGACAGACGCAGACTCAGCAACAAGACTAGCAGCGTAGTTGAGACGACAGCGAGCAGCAAAGTCGACGAGCTCAGCGACAAGAGCAGACGCAGTAGTGGACTCAAAAGAGGGGTCAGTGACGACAGTAGCAAGCAGACGCGTGACAGTAGGACTGGCAGCACGAAGAGAGTCCGACTCAGGGTCGGCAAGCGCAGGAAGAGAGGACTCAGGAGGAGAAGGCAAAGAGGCACGCAGAGGAGCAGTGGACGGACGTAGAGACATCCGGTGCGTGCCAGGGACAGGAGGAGGACGCTGACGCGAACCGCGACCACTAGCGCGAGCAGCACGAACAGGCAACGCGGGACGAGACGCAGGCTCACGACGCTCAACAAGACCTCCAGTAGGACCAGTGTAAGGAGAGGGAGCAGGCAAAGGAGAGGAAGGCTCCAACAGTGACTGCGACTGGACAGGCTGTGGACACTCTACCGGAGGAGAAAGACCAAGAACCTGCTGCAGGAGCGGAATGAAGTACGGCCGAGGCCGCGCGGCAGCTCCAGACTCAGCAGGGACAGCACCAGCACCCTCAGCGACAACACCTGCGCCACCAACACCTCCAACGGTAGGACCTCCAGCAGCACTAGCAGCAGAACTACCGCCAGGACAGACAGCAGTAGTCTCAGCACCAACACCCTCAGCAGCTCCAGCTCCAGTAGGACCCGCAGGCCCAGCAGCTTCGGGACCGGCAGCACCAACACCCTCGACGGTCGAAGAAGCTCCAGCTCCAGCAGCACGCCTCCAGCGGCGAGCAAACCACTCGCGCAGCTCCTATGGAGAGAGGGGCTCCCGTCGGGATGCAGCAGCAGGAGAAACCCCAGGCTCAGTAGCTCCAGACCCAGCACCTCCCAACTCAGCACCGCCAGACTCAGCACCCCCCGGCTCTGCACCCCCAGGCTTAACACCCTCCGCAGTAGCACCCCCAGGCCCAGCACCCCCAGGCTCAGCACCCCCAGCAGCAGCACCTCCAGGCCCGGCACCCCCGCGCACAGCACCCCCAGAGTCAGCACCCCCAGGCTCAGCACCCGCAGCAGCACCAGAGTCACCAGTAACCTCGACCGGGTCAACTGCGTCTACCTAGGACACACCTGAGGGGGCAGGAACCTGAGGGAGGAGGGGGTCTACCGGGGGGGGGAACCGGCACAAGGAAGTCCGGCGGAGGGGGGAGGGAAGGAGTGCGGTAGGGGGAGAGGCGGTAGAAGGGGACTGACTCGTCGAACGTGACGTCCTGGGAGGACAGAACACGACGAGAGGAGGGGTGGTAAAACTGCCACCCTGGAGCGTCAGTGGGGAAGCCAAGGAAGACACAGGGAGCAGCACGAGGGGACAGCTTGTCCGCAGACAAGTCGCGGACAAACGCCTGAGATCCCCAGACACGGAACGCCGACGCATCGCCAACCTTCCCCGTCCACAGCAAGACTGGGGACATCACGGGCCGAGAGACCCTGGGGTGAAGGTTGAGCTGATGCGCCGCGTACCTCACCGCAAACGGCCACAGAAAATGGGGGGCAGCCGCATGCATCATGGACGTACGAGCGACATCCATGACCATGCCAATGCGGCGCTCAGCAATCCCATTTTGCTGTGGAGAGTCCGGAAGCGTGAAGGTCTGGCGGATCCCCCGTGCACGACAGTAGTCTCGCAGAAGGCGAGAGGAGAACTCTCCGCCTTTGTCCGAGTGCAGACGCAGAACAGGAAAGTCCGAGCCGAAGCTCTTCCTAAGCTGGAGACGAGCCTCGCGGATCCAGTCGATCAACACCTCAGTGACCGCACCCTTGCTGCGCAAGGGGAGGACTGTGGTGTAACGCGAGTAGTCGTCAACCACCAACAGGAAGTAGCGCTCGTGACCCTGCCCACGGACGGGAGCTAGGCCCCACACGTCCATGTGAAACGTCTGCAGAGGAGCCTCTGTCGGGGGGAACTGGGAGGAGTGAGGAGTAGCCCGGAGGCGACCCTCGACACAGGGGACACAGGAAGGTCCTGGCCCGGAGGGAAGGGGAGGGAGAGACCGGGGAAGACCAGAGACAAGGACACGGGAAGCCATGCTCCGAAGACGGGGCAAGGAGGGGTGGCCAAGACGGTGGTGCCACAGGAGAGTCTCGTGAGACAGGAGGCGACAAGAACAGGGGGCAGACTCAGGACCTGACCGGGACGCAGCAGCAAGCACGTGACCTGACGCAGCTACCTGACCAGACGCAGGGACAGGAGGAGACGCAGTGGTCAGGGTGTAGAGGCTCGACCCCGGCCGACGTGAGAACGTGGCCAGGTGCCGGCCTGTGCGTGCGTCCGTGCAGTGGGTCACCCGCTGACTCGCAGGAGTGAACTGGTGAACCCCCGCATCCTGCAGGTCCGCACCACTCTCCAAGTTCGTAGAGAACGAGGGAAGGTACAGACCAGACAGGGTGCCCGAAGGGGCAGCCGGACACGGGAGGACAGTGGAGAAGTGAGAGAGGACAGGACCCCCAGAGGGGTCAGCCAGGGAGACGGCAATCTGCCGGCCAAGCGGCGTGAGGGTGGTGCGGTCTCGAAAGAAGGAGCGAGAAGCTCCGGAGTCAAGTGTGAAAGTGAGGGAGGACGAGGGCGACGCAGTACTTGAGAGCGCAGTCTCACCAGTACCTGAGAGCGCAGACGCACTGGCACCTAGAGCAGCAGCCTCACAAGCACCTAGCGCAGCAGTACCAATGCCCGGGTCGGGCTGGAAACACCGGTAACCCTCATTCTCCTCACTAATAGTCACAGCATACATAGCAGCAAGGATAGCATCAAAATCAAGATCAAAGATCGCCACACCAGCCCTAAGAAGCTCATCCCAGCGAGGGATCTCACTAGCCCCGGGGAACTGCTGACGCCAAGCGTCCGTCAGGCGGCCAAAGCAGCGCTGGGTGGAGTGGGCACCCCCACACTGCT